AATAAACTGAATATGTTGCTATGAATTGCTGAGATGAACCATTCACCATAGACTTCTTCATTTACATCATTCTATTCCACTATTGAAACTGTCATAGTATAGGATAAACCTACTCGAGACAAATTTCAGAACAAGAAAATTTCGAAAAGTTTTCTTTTGGCACAGGACATTCAACCACCACGGTTGATCTAGTGATTAATAAGAGCCATGCAAATAATAAAGGGTTTAAAGGAAAGGGTTCAAGTCATAGTGGCTACCTAGCAAAAGATTATTATCCTTTGAGTTTCCATAACAACCAATGTAGTAGGTGTGACAGCAATACGTAACGGGCCAAAGCAATACGTAACCGTAAGATTATTATCCCACATCAGTTGGAGAGGGGAACAAAGCATTTCTTATAAGGATGTGGAAACCTCTCCCTAGCAGACACGTTTTAAAACCGTGAGGTTGACAGCAATACGTAACGGGCCAAAGCGGATAATATTTGCTAGCGGTGGACTTGGGTTGTTACAGTAGGGTTAGACGGTTGTCTTGTGAGAATAGTCGAGGTGCGCATAAGACCAAAGTCCTGTCTTGCCATCCAAATTGTGTGTGCTTGTTACGTTCCTATTGGACCTGACAACTAACACTGCTTCTCCTTACACAGTTGCTTTGGATCATATTACTGGCTTCTTGCGCCGCCCTCGTCATACAATCTTTAGCAGCAAATCTAGGAGTTGTCACAGGCAATAACTCTGCGTAACTTTTTCCTCTTCTCTAAGTTCGTGATATTTTTATAGTTTCAAGACTTTTTATGCATCTTTCATGTTTTTTTTGGTAAGTGTAGGAAAACATTTAGCAGAGCACTGTAAAGCTGAGTACCCCAAGGTGCAAAATTTCATCCTATGGATCCTTGCTGAAATTGCAATTGTTGCATGTGATATTCCCGAAGGTACAGTAATGTAATCCTAAATCTAATAGTTGAGTGAAGAATATGATAGAACCAAATATTGAAATATGAAAGTTAACAGAACTACAAGATAAAGATAACCCAAGTAATTCGTACTTGGACCGTCTCTCTCGAGTACTCTCACTGAAGCCTAAGCCAACTAAATCAATTCCTTCCTTCATCCTTTCTAACCCACTAGTTATAACAAATTATATTCACAAACTCTTCAGCTAATTTTGATCGTACCTTACTACCCCAATAACACTACTAATTCTATCCTAATAGCAGTCTCATCAGAATACCCTTGGTCATAGGATGCGTATTTTATCTTTTGAATTTTGTGTACTCATGCTGGATGGTTTATTATTATTATTATTATTATTATTTTTCTCTGTGGAAGATTAGCATTTAGAGTTGCTATTACGGGTGCTATCTTCTGTATCTGGTTCATGACAAATGAATCCTCGTTTGTTGTCGAAGTTATTCTCAAACCTCATCCTTTCTGTTTCCAGTTATAGGAACCGCTTTTGCATTGAATATGCTCTTCAGCATTCCTATTTGGTGCGGGGTTCTTCTGACAGGGCTTAGTACTCTACTCCTCCTTGCGCTGCAGCAATATGGGGTAGTTTGAGATTTACTTTTTTTTCTGGATTTTACTTATCTTTCAGCAGTAAAGATTATAAACATTGCTTCGATGCTTACATTCGGCTATAATTCTCCCATTTGTGCTAGGATAGCCAAGGAGATAGCATAATTTTAGATAACTAGACTTCAGCTACCTTAAACGCTCTCCTTGACTGCGTTGCTATTCACTTTGCAGATTAGAAAGCTCGAATTCTTGATTGCATTTCTTGTATTGACAATTGCAATTTGCTTCTTTCTGGAGTTGGGCTATGCACAGCCCGATGTCGGAGAAATTTTTTATGGGTTATTTGTCCCTCAATTAAAAGGAAGTGGTGCTACTGGTCTTGCAATTTCACTTCTTGGTGCTATGGTTATGCCGTATGTCTCTTATCTGCTTAAACTACATTCTTAGCCTTCAATTTTTCCCCTTGATACTTCTCAATATTCTTAGTATAACTTCTTGTTCTGCAGACACAATCTCTTTCTTCACTCTGCACTGGTGCTCTCTAGGAAAATACCCCGATCCATTCCTGGCATCAAGGTGATGGTTTCGTCTTCATTAGTCTAATCTGCACGTTCCCCTAAGCTTAAAAATTTCCGAATGAGTTTAAAATCTTGAAGTATTCACTTGATATGTATCTCAAAACTCCATACAAGCACGCTTCAATGCTTTCGTTGCTGCTTTTTTATTTTAATTGTAACTCGACATTCTACTGTACTAACAGTCGAAATTTTCTTCACAGGAAGCTTGCAGATTTTATATGATAGAGAGTGGCTTTGCTCTTTTGGTGGCTTTCTTCATTAACGTGGCCGTCATTTCAGTTAGTGGCGCGGTTTGCAATTCCCCAGATCTAAATAAGGAGGACCAAATGAGTTGCAGTGACTTGGACTTGAATGAAGCTTCATTTTTATTGAGAGTATGTTTGATCTACCAACTTTTGCCTTTTCCTTGTTGTTTACCTCATGGGATTTGGTTCCTCATAAGAAGTTTTCTTTACTTTTTTCAGAATGTATTGGGTAAATGGAGTTCCAAACTTTTTGCCATTGCTTTGTTAGCATCTGGTCAGAGTTCTACCATAACAGGAACCTATGCAGGGCAGTATGTCATGCAGGTACTCTGCTGGTTCTCTTTCCATGTTAAAGCTCTGCTTCTTTACAGTTTGAATTCTTGCTCTCGTCGGAGTTCGTAAAATTTTGTGAATGTTCATGATCATTAATAGGACCCTACTTGTGGGTACTCCATAATGCTTGATTTCAAGCAACTCTTTGATACTTGTGTTTCTTTGACTTTCCTTTGACGTATTCCTGTTTATATCACCTTTTATTTGAAGGGGTTTCTCGATTTGAAACTGATGCCATGGATCCGAAACTTTTTAACGCGAAGCTTAGCGATTGTTCCTAGTTTGATTGTTGCAATCATTGGTGGGCCTTCTGGGGCTGGGAAGTTGATCATTATCTCATCGGTAAGATATATACTTCCTGTCCTTGAATACACTTCTTATTTCATATGCTTACGGTTTAATGCACTTCCTCCACCATCTAAGTTTCTTGCCATAGTTCAATTGTTGTGTGCTGATCAGTTACTGCTTAAAATTGAAGGTCAATGCATTTTGACTCCCTGTAATCTTCTCTTTCGGCAGATGATTTTGTCGTTTGAACTCCCTTTTGCTCTCATTCCCCTTTTGAAGTTTACGAGCAGCGAGACGAAGATGGGTCCACATGTCAACTCCCTCGCGGTAATTTTGACTAATCCAAGGAGCTTCTCTATAACACTCGTTTTTTTTTCCCTTTTGTTAGATGATCCCAACGAAGCTCGAGCTTTCATCATTCAATTCTATATAACAAAAAAAGTTGGATTTAAAATGGTACTTCCTATCATTCACCAAAATCATGATTTTTTTTTTCTTTGCTAAAAAGTAATTCTTGCCTTGAATGGTGCTCATTCAAGTTGATTTTGAAGCCTTTTAAGAATAGTTTGTAATAGGTTCGCTTACTCGAGATTTAATGCCCTACGAATTACCTTGACTACCAAATGTAGTAAGATCATGTAGTTGTCCCATGAAATTGGTCACTTTTGACTACAAGCTAATCTTACGCTATATATTTTCAAAATGCAGATTACGATACTGACATGGATCATCGGTTTCCTCATCATGGCTATAAATATATACTACCTCATAACCCGTTTCGTCCATGTGCTTATTCACAGTGATCTCCAACTCGCAGCAGTCATCTTCATAGGGATACTAGGATTTTCAGGCATGGCATTATATTTAGCTGGAATTGCTTATCTGGTTTTGAGAAAGACCAAGGAGATGACTCATCTCCTGGCACTAACAACAGAAGAAAGTGAGCGATTGAGCATCGAGCCGAGCAAGACATCAGCATATAACCTCCCGAGCGAAGAAACAGTAAGCATGCAATTGCCTCAGAGAATTAGAACAACCAATGATGTAAACTGACAAATTATAGATTAAAAAAAACTTCAGCCACAGAAGGAAGGAAGGCAGATCCTTTGGATGGATGCTGGTTTCATTTGTTTTGGACATAGAACAGACAGGTGAAACTCATAAGCACAGCAACTGGAAAGGTCAAAAGTTAAATCAGCTTAACCCAACTCTACCTTCGATACTGCCTTGCTAGCCAAGGTAACTGCTTGAGCTTTCTAGGGCTCTTTTAGCACAGCAGTAAATTACATACCTTTTTGCCCCTCTTTTTTCTCTCCTCTTAGAGATGACCTTTTATTACTATTGTATTTGGGTTCTTAACATTTTAACTTTCAACTTTTAACCCAACATTAGTAGCTCATAATGAATGGTTGTTGTTTATTAGATATGTGCAAATTCGTGATTGTATAATTGATTCAACCTGGATTTTGGAATTCAAATTTGGCACTTTATGACCCGAACATTTTCTTACATTTCTTGCTACATGATTACGTTACCTACTTGACTTGAATTGCTTCTACGAGATTTGACATGCTTATAAGCTTAAATCTTGGGTTGCTTCTTCCTTGGTTTGTCCACCAACCACATCCTACTATGAGAAGAGGTTATGCTGTGATGCCATCCATCCATAATGCTTCAAATCTAAGATTCATACTAAGATTTGAAATCCATATTTAGCACCTAATAGCCTCGAGGAATGATCATGTTACTTATTTCACTTGAACTAGTTCTAAGAATAAAAAACACTCTGATATCATCCATAACGTACCATTAGCACCTAATAGCCCGACTATCTTACCTAACCCTAAACCTAAACCCTGTGATATGACTATCTTACCTATTTCACTTGAACTAGTTCTAAGAATGAAAAATTATCCCCATGAACCAACAAATGTTCTTCGACGAAAATGTTTTTAGAATTACTCTAAGCGATACACTTAACTTTTATGATTAGAATCAATCTGATCCTAACTTGTTAAAACACATCTCCTCGATTAAATGTTAAAAGCTTGAATCTTTATTAATAGGAATGTAATTAAAATTTTAAATTACAAATCAATATTCCCCCAATTTCCCAATATGAAAAAAATTACAATTTTTGAATATAAGCCTCATGAAAAATATCAATGTTGAAATTGGGAAGGAAGAGGAAGATGACCCTTTTCTTGTAAGCTCTTCACAGTTTCATATATGCATTGTTTGATAGGTGTAAACTCCATTCCCAATGACTTCAGCTTCTCCACAGTGTACTTGTAAGGTTTCTTCTTGGGATTCACCTCATCAGAACACCTACAAAACAAACCCAATTATTCCCTTTTCGGTTAAATTACAATTTTAGTCGTCGGACGTTCGGGTCCGAGATTTGAGCCAACTTACTTGGTCGGAATGGGATATTCAGGGAAGAACTTGGTAAGAATCTCAACCAATTCACCACGGTGAAGCATGCTTTCCACACAGATGTATCTGCCTGAAGCTGAAGGAGTTTCATAGACCAAAACATGAGCTTTTGCAACATCCTTAACATCCACGTAACCTTGTACAGCATTTACATATGTCTTTGCAGATCCTGTCAGATACTTCATTATATGAACAACGCTTGCATTCACACCAGCTTGCAGCAAAGGCCCCAAAACCAGCATTGGATTCACCACTACCAAATCCACTCCTTGTTCTTTTGCCACTTCCCATGCTGTTTGTTCAGCTATTGTCTTTGCATAGCAATACCAATTCTGTACATAATAATGTCCGTGGTTAGGTTATATGGGTGTTTTTTCTTTTAACTTCATCAAGGGTTCGTTAAAATATCATCACTAACCCAACAAGGCCAAACTCAATAATTATACGAGCCCATTATATATTCATTTTAGAAAAATGGTCTAGGTACATCCCACCAATCCCAAGAAACACAGAGTAAAGTAGTTTCTATAGAGTGTCGTGTAATCTCTTCTTGATTGAGATTAATAAAAAGTGCTAGTGTTTCCTACAAAGAGTTGTGTTCAACGGGTTATTATGTTAATTACCTTGGTGTTCTTGCAAAACTCGAGATCACTCCAACAAGACTCATCCACCACTGTATCTGGGCTCCGGTTAGGGTTCATGTAGACGGTACCGATCGACGACGTGAACACTACCCGTCGAACTTTAGCTTCGGCAGCGGCAGCCATGACGTTCTTTGTCCCAATTATGGCTTGTTCCACCTTTTCCTGAAAAATTAGAGTTTGAGTGAGTAATTTGATAGTAAGCTAAAGAGTTGGATAGGACAGAAGAGAAGAGGATGAAGTTGTTACGGGATCGTCGGTGACCGGAGAGGCGGTGTGGAAGACGCCATCGCAGCCGGTAATGGCAGCTTTAAGGCTATCAAAATCAAGAAGATCAGCACTGAACAAAGACAGCCTGTCTTTAGCTCCTTCCAGCTCTTTCAAATGAGCATTCTTTTGATCATCAGCGTTTCTGACAGTTCCTCTAACGGTGTAGCCCTTTTGGAGAAGGAGCTTCACAAGCCAAGAAGCAATGAAGCCTCCGGCGCCGGTGACACACACCGTGTGGCCTGAAACTGCAGAGGTGCTGATCGGCATGGCGGATAATTTGGGTGTTTGAAATGAAAGAGAGTTAAAAAAAAATGATGCACAAAAAGGAGCAGCGGTTTGAGTGCTTTTTATAGTAACAAATGGGAACAAAACTCGCCTACCACCATTTCTACATTTCTAAATGGCTCATTAAATATTGGGTTTTGTTAAAGTTTGAATCTTTGGGTCAAAACTGAAGGTTTTCTTCAAACCCATCGTGCTTCACCGAAGCTGCCTTATCTTCTCTCTTTCTCTCTAAAAGCTTCATTGAATGTAGTCTTTCTCTCTCTACTTCCACTAATTTCTCATCCTTTTGACTTATTTGGCCCCGGGTCAAAATGTTCGCGAGTTAGATTGAATTGAGTTTAACATTTTAGCCTCAATTAACTACTTGAATCAATTAACTACTTGAATCGAACCATAAAATTTTCAGATTGGATGGACTCATGTTCTAGTTTATTGTCATCTTTAAGAATAAAGTTTACACATCCTTATATAACCCAGATTCACTCACACATCTTGTCCAATGGCACACTTTCTAGTGTCTGACTCTAATACTATTTGATAATATTGTATTTTTTTGAGATCTCACAATAATATAATATAATATTATAAAAATAATAATTAATAACCTAATATTAAATTTAAAATAAGGGTGATGTGTAATGAGTTTGAGTTAGGCGGGTAGAAAGGCGGGAATTTCAACGGTCAGCAGTCTTTGTTTGACCAACACCACAGCCCTAAGTGGCCGTACTAGACGACAAACTGGACCTAATTCCATTTAATTTCGGCGAAATTTCCATTAAAGTATTATGAGTCAATTTTGCTGCCTCTATCCTACATTTTCTTATATTTATTTATTATATATATCTTCGTCCCTTACCTTTATCGGAAAAATAAAAAAAGTTTTGAAAATTTTAAATATCGAGTATAGTGACCCTTGGTTAGGGTTAAATATACATACACGATCAATAACCTCAAATATGTATATGTGAGATCTAAAACGATTGGATGTCTTGATGAACTTTAATCTAATTCATAAGAACTGACGCCTAGTAAGTACAGTTGGACCATTCCAACATACGACTCCGTATGACAAAATATCGAAACCATCAAACTTTTGAAGTATGTGTGAGAGAGTTTTTGTAGATTTCAGATAAGAATTGACACCTAATTAGTAAAACCGAGCCACTCCAATACATGACTATCATGGTAAAATAAATAGGTAATTACTAAAAAAAAAAAAAAAAGAGAGCACCGATAGATAGCTACTGTATCAACTCATGACGACGATGATAACATGGTGTGGGAGGTTTTCTACGAAAGATTAGGTGAACAACGACGACGAGTGTCTCGTGAAACCCTATGGTGCCGACGTCGACTAGCAAAATGACGTAGATTGACGAGGTTGAGTTGGAAGATGACCCTTCTCTTGAAGACTCCTCACAGTGTCATATATGCATTGCTTCACAGGTATGAACTCGGCCATGCCCAAGTCCTTAACCTTTTTTACACTAAATTTGTAAGCTTTCTTCTTAGGGTTCTTCTCATCACAGCACCTACCATTCCATATCAACACACAAATGCCTAATTATAACTCCGAATTCTTCGGTATTCTTCGGTTTAAAATTAACACTTTTGATCCTTAGAGAAGGAGAGATTTAAACTTACTTGGTAGGAACGGGATACTCGGGAAACAAATTAGCCAAAATTTCAACCAATTCTGCGCGATGAAGCATAGTTTCGGCACAAATATATCTACCGAAGGCGGAGGGAGTCTCGTAAACCAAAACGTGAACCTTTGCAACATCCTTAACATGAACATAACCTTGAACTGCATTCACATAGGTCTTGACTGACCCTGTCAAATACTTCATTATATGAACTACACTTGCATTTATTGTTTGTTGTAGTAATGGTCCAAGCACCAGCATTGGGTTCACCACCACTAGATCAACCCCTTTTTCTTCTGCCATTGCCCATGCTGTTTGTTCTGCTATGGTCTTTGCATAGCAATACCAGTTCTGTCCAATATGCAATCGACATAGATTAGAGGGTAAGGCACAACGTCAGAATATCTGCTTTGTTCTGTTATGTATCGCCGTCAGTTAAAACGCGGATGTTATAGAGAGGGTCTAGCCTTACTCCGACTAGTGCCTCTGTTTGATAACGGACTCTGATACCATTTGTAACACATTGTCCTTTTTGCACTTTCATTTATGGCCTTCCCCTCAAGGTTTTTAAAACGCCTACTACATAGAGGTTTCCACACCCTTATAAAGAATGTTTCGTTCCCCTCCCCAATTGATGTGGGATCTCACACTAACGTCGAATGGAGAGGGAAATGAATGCCAGTGAGAATACTAGGCCTCGAGAGGGGTAAATTGTGAGATCTCATATCAATTGAAGAGAGGAACGAAGCATTTTTTGCAAGGGTGTGGAAATCTCTCCCTTCTTTTCCACTTGAGAGAAAACCCGAAAGTGAAAGTCAAAAAAATACAAATTCAAATTTTATCACCCGAAGTTATTGGAATCATTCTATTATTTTATTGTTTTACTCCGATCTTTAAAATAAAAGAGAGGGAAAAGATGTTGCTTACCTTTGTTTTTGCAAAAGTCAAGGTCACTCCAACAAGACTCATCAACCACTATGTCCGGGCTCCGATTAGGGTTCATGTGCACGGTCCCAATCGATGACGTGAAAACAACCCGTTGGACTTTGGCCTCGGCCGCCGCCGTTATGATGTTCTTCGTTCCAATTATTGCTTCATCCACCTTTTCCTATCGATACACAATATCGTAAATGTTAAACTACTACTAAACTGAAAGATAGTCACGTTGTGATAGTCTCATTGAATAATTTCTTCACTTACAAGGTCATCGGTTTCATTGAATAATTTCTTCACTTACAAGGTCATCGGTTACGGGTGATGCAGCGTGGAAAACACCGTCACAGCCCATAATGGCGGCTTTAAGGCTCTCAAAATGAAGAAGATCAGCAGCATACAACGTTAGCCTTTCCTTAGCTCCATCAAGCTCTTTCAAATGAGCATTCTTCGAATCACCTTAAAAAAAGATCATAAAAATGAGATAAAAAAAAAAAAAAGGTACCAAAAAAAAAAACATAAACCAAGACACCAACCAGGGTTTCTGACAGTGCCTCTAACGTTGTAACCCTTTTGGAGAAGGAGCTTCACGAGCCACGAGGCAATGAAGCCACCAGCACCGGTGACACAAACAGTTTGGCCGGAAGCTACGGCGGCTGATGCGGCGGCTAGTGGCATTTTGAATGGGTGAGAATGGAATAAATGAGGGCGTTAGGAGTAAGCAATTTGGTTTTGGTTTTATAAGGCAAAAAAGGAAAGGGCTTTACAAGAACTCCCACAATTCATGCACCTACTACTACCTAATTATTTTACCATTTCATATTATAACATCGACAAATAGTATTAGAGTAGAACCGTTCAGGGACTAACTAAGGTAGAAATTGACGTACAAATTGTTAGGTTGAATGGCTCAATGACCTAGGGTCACGACCTCGTGTATTTATAGATGTGTATAATGAAGATTATATTCTAACCCATGAAATCATAGATTTGGTAACAAAACTAGTAAATCACTGGATTATCTTACTATATACAGATACGATCTATTCTACGTTTTAACACAAATGACTCTCTCTTGAGTAAATGAAACTAGAAGCGACGCAGATACATAAAAGGCTTTGTTTTGGTATGTGTGAAAGGAATCAAGCTTGTTGTTCTATAGAGAATGGTGACATACGACACTTTAGAACTTCAATGAGATAGGTGTCGTCAAGCTCAAGACTCCAACTTCAACTCTTTCTTCACCAAACTCATATTAAATTATTTGAAGAAAACGTCATATTGACTTTTTCTCCCCCTTAAAAATATAACTTTGACATGTCGTGAAATCTAGAGACATTGTAAAGGACAGTAACCTTATGGGTGTGGAGGGTTTGGTAAATTAATGATAAATTTGAATAATAATTCATCTACTTTTAGAAAAATATACCAAAATTTGACATAAAAGAATTTGACTTTTGGCTTAAATGTTTGACCAATTTGAAGAAAAAATTAGGGTAGAAATAAAGAATTTGAATCATGAATACATTATAGTTAGCCACCTCAAGCCATTCTTTTCATTACCCACAACAACATTATAGCTAAGAAGCTCTCAAAGTCAAACAAGTTAACTACCACTTTACTTGTGCAACTAAGATACAAGATTCCTTCCATTTATGAGGTTGGTTACATATGGATCGAGATTTGAAATTTGGGTCGAGTACCCGATAGCCCAACATTGTACTGTAACATGGCCACGTTACTTGATCATCGCTCGTAAAAGTGAAGACTACCCCCACAGATTAATCATGGAGTTCCTATGATTGAGTTACCTAAAGGGTGTTATGTGGTAACTTTCCATTCTTTTAAGTCTTTCTTAACATTCTATCCTCATGATTGCTCTCATTTGGATGTAGTGTGAGATTCTACATCGATTTGAGAGGGGAACAGAGTGTTCCTTATAACAGTGTGAAATCTCTCCTTAGCAGACGCGGTTTAAAACATTGAGGGGAAGCCCAGATGAAAAAGTTCAAAGAAGACAATGTCTGTTAACGATGAGCCAGAGCTGTTACAAATGGTATTAGAGTCAGATACTGGGCGATGTGCCAGCGATCTTCAAGGGGTGAATTGTAAGATCCTACATTGGTTGGAAAATATCTGCTAGCAGTAGACTTGAACGGTTACATGTAGTCTCAGTTCATTCATGTATCTCTTTTTTACTCCGTTATCACATAGCTCGTATATTCTCTACTACTAATGAGAAGGACCAACAAAACAAAGAGAAACATTTAATTTTTGTATAATATACATTTTTTGAATTCTCATACTTAAAAAAACAAAAAACAATAAAAATACTGAAAACTAATTAAACATTACCTCTACAAGATTTAGAACACATTCGACCCGACCCGACCCGGTTTTTTAAACCAAGAGATTTGGCAGCGACCTCCTCCTACTTAAACCTCTAAAACCTCTGTCCTCTGGTCTTCTGTTT